AGCAATTTCACATCATTCCTCAACTAATCCACAGTCACTGGATTTTTCATCAAACCTTTTGTTCCACTCTTGGTCGATCGGAGGACACTCTTTGCATCGTTTCACGGTTGAACCGATCGGATTTTCGCTTCATCAGGAATCAGACGTTTGAATTGTTCGCCCGTTTCCCGAAACCTGAGCCCCGAAGCGGTCAGCCAGACCAAATGTGTGCTTTGTCACGATCCAATAACTCCATCCTGCAGTGACTGACAACTGTGAACTATTTTTCACGTGCAACAAAATGCAACCATGACGCGGNCCTCGGGACCAAAAACAGACACAAACGAGTCCGAACCGTGTGCGTGGACGGGCTTGTGAGTTGGGATCACCGATTTTCATTTGACAATTTCGTCGGACAAAAGCGGAACTGAAACACAGCTGAAAATTCCATTTGGTGGCGTGTTGTCGTCTTGGTGAATCACCTGGTACCAACAGTACCATTGTTTACACGCTTCTGCTCCCAGCCTCTCGTATGAACTAGACATTCTTCCTGCTGCGTGTACCGTGAGAACGCTGATCGGGTACCCTTCAATGAAATCCATATTTATCATATGCACTGATACAATGGGCCACAAAATGACTTTTGTTTTCTCGTAACAAACGCGTAATTTGTTTTCGGCAATCCGTATTATGGTATTAAAATACTGACTAAAACAATAGCAAAGTGCATCCGTCGAGCAGAGTTAGCACGACAATCGTCACTGAAATGATTATAAAGCATTGTATAACCATCTCATCAATCGTGTTAGTAATTTTCGGCAGATTAAATTCACACTATCCATTGGGGAGCAGAATCGGGCATGTGGTTTCATCAAACTGTTATCGGGCCAGATTAACAATGCTGCACGCACTGATTCAAACCCCAGTGGATTTCTAAGAAGTCTAACGAAACGTCTGTAAGATTTCACACTGTACAATCATTATTCGTGCACTTTTATGCGGTGGTTTTGGTTAATTTCTTTTAAGTACCGATTTCTTTAAAGGAGGTTAGGGAGCATTGGAATGTTGAAAATGCGGGTAGAGTCAGCTGGGAAACAGGTTGAGATGTCCGAGTATCGCTGTTTACGACACAGCTATATCAAATTCAGAGGTCTACAACAGCGGGGTCTAACACGAATTGAGCGTCGAAGTTTCCTGGACGAGAGTTTCGTACCTTCTTGTCAGATTTTAGTTTTACAATCTTTGACCTCCCAACCACTATTTGACTCAGCAAACATCTCGCGCCAACCTATTGGGTGACATGCGTAATGTGTGCCCCAGCTAACATAATCTACGGAATTCGAGCACTTGTTCTAATGGGTGAACGTGATCCCCTAAACCTCTGAGCGTAACCTCAGCATGGCTTGTCAGGTCACCACAGCACATTCGTGCAACGGAGCTGAACAGAATTACTCGAACACCGACAGTCTAATAGTCTCTACACCGTACAGCACCATGGGCCAAATTGTTACAACCTAAACCCGACACTTCACAGACAGCTGAATTTCACTACGGTGTCATAGAGGTATCGAGTAGTAACCCGACAAGTTATCTCAGTGGTTCAATCTATATAAAGAATACACTGTTATAAAATAAGTAAACCCTTCCAAATCTATTCAATCGTTTCAGTCTAGTCTTGTCAATCTCTGTGTCCGATGTCCCCGTGCTGAAGGAACTTCACAAACTCGGCTGGATTTCTGTTCAGTAGCGAAAATAGAGAATTCAGAATCGGATTATAATCTAACATCCATGGAAGATATTATTCCTTCTCTGTGTGCGATATGGTTACTATCGAGACTCGTTTAAGTGATTGAGACGACTGGTATAACACATAACACACGCAATCAATCAATAAGAAAAAATAAGCATACATTGATAAATGTGGTTTACCTATTCTCTAATACGTGGCGTTCTTCCGAATCAGGTTCAGACAGTCATTGGCATCATTTGGATATACATCGCACGATTTCTGGTCGTTTTCCTGGAATTCGCTTAGCCGGTTTTGACCGCGAGAAAATCGATTCAATCAGGTACATAGTCCTGAATATGAGCAAAACGAAGGCATCCGGTATCACACAGCATGCTAACGTTGCTGAAACATTAGAAGAAATGGCAATACACTAAGAACACAACTCATAAACTGGAAGATGAGGCATTGATTTTTAATGATACCACGAACTCCTGATTTCCGAAACCAGAATCCGCATCGATCAGCGTTTAGACAAAGATTTACAACCTTTAATAAATTTGATAAACTGGAAACATCGAAAGAAGTGTTTCAGCCTGATGTAGCTGTGCGTCGTCTACTCCAGTTTGTTCTCTGCCATATTTGGAAAAAGCAAAGCCAGTCACGTGGACTGTTTCGAAGGTGTGTGTGGTCGATGCTGGTCTCACAGCCAACATCAAAATAGCGTACACTATACACATAGAAACAGGTATGATAAAATGCAAAACAAGACCCTAACAGCCCAAGGTAAACCGGTTCGACAACTGATATACTGGTTCGATCAACCTGCCATTAGATAGTGTCGAATTTTGGTAAAAATGTTTGTTCTCTTTCTAACGATAATGTTTTTCTTGCTCGAAGCTAGTCATTATTCAAACGCTTCTGGGTGTTTTGATATTCCAAGCCATGGGTACTTTTCTAAAAACACTCCTAATGTTTTGAAAATAGGTGTGTTCATGAAACATAAACAATTGGAAAGGATTATTTAATGGATGATTATTACTAAAGTTTACCATTCCAAAAGCGATTAACCACTTGAAATGAATTCAACGAGTACCGAATACACAGTTTTCGAATATGATCCCGGTAAAATGAACTTTTTTGATTGCACCCCTTACAAGGGACGACATTTTGTTCGTTCGGTTCATTGGGTTTCGCTTGGCTATCGATGTGTTGATCATCAATTAAAGCAAACGGCTGTTGTTGATGTACTAAACTCACCTAGCATTGTTCAATTTTACGATCAGAAGTGAGCCAATTTTCGGCACCAACAATAAACATCATGTATATTATCGAGATCGTATTTGATTTCATGGTTTACCTAAAAAAGAGAACAGAGAAAGAAGATGAAAACATTGTCAAACGTTTCAGTTTTTGTACGTGCTGAATTGATCCACTATTTTGCACAGAAGTCATGTTTCAACTAGTTGTTGAATATAACTGTGAATTACTGAAAGTTTCAAAGATTCAAAGATTTATTATGGGAATAACTTACAAGCTCATGCTTTTCTGGTCCCATAGGTTCGTGCGGTGGATTAGGAAACAGTGATACATACCATTCTTTTTGTAAACTGTCACGTAATACGTGCGTTTTCCACTGCCTCACGCAGCTTCACTTATGTTGGAACGTAAGATGTGCTAGTGTTTCATCTAGCCTCAGTTTGAAAGACTCAATGCTTGGAGTACAGACGACGTAGGATGGTAGAGAGTTCCAGATCGAACACACTCTGACTGCGAATGCCTGACGCCGGCATTCCAAGCGGCATTTTGAGACCACTAGTTTAAATAGGTGTCCTCTAAGATGAACGTTGGGTGATAATTTCAAAAGCGGGCGACACGGATGGCTTGGGTTTTGCATTATTTGGTACACCATAATCATATCTCCTCTGATGCGCCGGTAATGATTGGAATATAATCCCAGTGACTTCAGTCTATCTGCGTATGAAAACCGATTCAACGAACGCCCAATTATAATCGACCGTCCGTATTTTCGCTCGAGATGATCACCTGGACCTCGGTTAACTGGAAAAGGATTCTCGTTCAGATCCATCAGATCCCAAAAATGGTTTGTAATTGAGACTAGCTACATTGGTGTTCATGTAGTCCTTCCTAGCTTAACATGATGTGAAAACCGTTTTGCGGACAGACTATCCGGTTGTTTGAGAAGAAAAACCATAGACATAATCGAAATGATGTGCCGTATATGAGAATTATATCTTGACTTCCGGAAGCAGTTCGGCTGCGTTATACACAGCATTAGGAGTAAGTAGTTGCTTCGCCTACCTTACGGGCTGAATCGTTTGGCAGCACAGACCGAGCGTGACTCATTCAAACAGAGGAGCTCGGGATGGAAATATTTGTGATAAACGACAAAGATCACTGGACAGCTGTTCCTCCCTGTATGGAACTCGTCAGAAGTTCGTAATTTTTGTGTCCCTGTCAGGACTCGAACCGCGAACTTTCGGGGTTAGGACTGCAAACCCTTACCCCTGAGCTACACGGTCGACCGTTATCATCAAGCTTGCTACCGTAAAAAAAGAGAAGCTTGGCTTTTCAATTCTGAACAGTTACAGTATTATCCTTCGTTCTAAGAGCATCGGTTCAATTCACTCGCGATGGATTTCTGTGTGATGAGAGACGAAGAGCGCTAGACATGTGTTTCATCCCCGTCGAGACTTGTCTACGGTGCATCTGAAAGACCCGAGAAGTCGTTCCCAAGAGGTTAAATTCGAAATCTCATTTGTACTACTGCAAATAAATTCAGTAGCTAAAACTACAGATAATTGCCACACGTTACTGGCTAGCTTAAACCGGGCGCTGGCACACAAACACACCCAGTGCACACGCAGTGTGCACTATGCACCAAATTGAGAAAAACCGTTGTCAATGCGACGATGTTGAAAATGGAAAATGGGATTTGGGTTTAAATAAGTATAAGACACCGAAAAGCAAATATTAACAATAGCCTGCTCATGAACACTCTGTGTCCTGAACTGTGTTGTAACGTCCCTTTCTCGCAGGCATTGTAGGTTATCTCAGAATCCTGCAAGGGATTGATTCCAAGGATGGAGGGGAGAGGGTTGTGCAGTTGCTAAATCTGTTGATAGTTGATGTACAATAAGTTTGTGATCCCTATTCAGACAGAGATCCATGACTGTTGGGAGTGAGACAAAAAGGATGAAGTTGTCTGGGTTCGAAAACAATTATTTTTGAGACAATGGACTACACATCTATACTAACCAAACAGCGTTGCTATCTGCACTGTCATTTCAAGATGTAGACTACTCTTACAGTTAGTCAACATGGTGGAACAAATAAAATGAACAATACACCAAAGTTCATGGGTAGATGTTGAAAAATGGTATTTCAGAGCGTCCTTAAATTGAAGAAATTGAAGGAATCAGATTGAGAGGCGCAAACAAAATGAGATAGAGCGGAGTTGAATGAGATGTATATTCCGATTCCATCATTCTGGAAAACTTGTTTGAAGCACCAGATTGAGCAGACACTCGCGAAATACGGAATATAAAACCAAAGCACGTAGGATACAGTATGATTTCGCGGGACAGCTGTTGTAAATGAACTGCCGCCACCGCTGCCACCAAGAACAACAACAACAACAACGAAAATCACTACACCCAGTCTGGAACTCTCAACAATATATGAACAAATAAAAACCCAATGACACTGTTTGTGCTTTGGCGGATGATGGTTGCATGGTACCTGTCAACTGTTTTTTTATAGAGTCTCATTACATTATCTCAGTCAGGATTATGCGTTTAAATCCAACCATCACAGCCAATACTGATCTCAATGGCGTTTACCAAATTGAGACATTTGTGGGGCCGTAGCAACATTCAGTTGTCTGTAAAGAATCGTGTGTATGCTGCAGCACTTCGGTCATTACTGCTATGTGGTGCAGAGACTTGACGGGGACAGAATGAGGAAGCGCATTACGGGTTCAAACACCGCGGTCAGCGCCACGAGTCCGGTGAGACGAACCGCAGCATGAAAGTGCATAATGGTTGTATAAAATGGACCAATGGCAGCCCCTTGATTGACAGCATCTGTCTATTCTGAAAACTAATGGTGCATTTGTCTAGTTAGTGAAAAATTACTCTAAACTCTAATAATGCAAAATAGAGGAGAGAAAATCACGAAATCAAAATCTTTCTATGATAATGAAATTCAATTTGAGGTTTGCAAATAGCTTCTTTTTTGTTGTTGTGCTTCAATCTCATAAAAAGATCTGAGGAGCATTGTATTATTATTCTATTTTATAATTTTGTTCAGGGTTGATGATGCGGCGTTAGAATTGGCACGTGTCATGTGCACAAAGGAAGAGTCCGAGGGCAGCGTGAGCAAAACAACTTTATTAGATCTGACAACTGACGACCTTGCCGAGGGAATGATTAATGAGACAGGACGCAGGCCGATTTGTCTGTCCGAGGAAATACATCCGACACCGAATGTTAACTGGCCAACCATTGGAGAATTTACCCCGGAATTAGGGCTGAAAAGAATTGAGGAGTATATTCAGGTAAGGATTATGCATGAATACCGTTTCAGCCGAAAGGAATAGTATGAAGTCTATACGTGTACGGCATTCAAGTTCATGCGTGGGTTCGAATCCCGTCAGGACTTCTGAGATGTTCATAAATCGATTACATCAACAGATAAATATCATAGTGGTTGGTGATAATTGACAGCTACTGAGGTCTTTCTGATCTGAATCACAATGAGGGCCAATTTCTGTACTCACTGTGGGAGGCACGTGATCGGATAAACTTTAATTGTCCCGGACACTTTAGGAAAAGAAATTCCTGAGTTGTTTCAATCGTCGCATACAATGCACCGAGTGGAAATGAATTTAAAAACGCCAGAGTAGAAACTATGATTTCACCGATTTGGGTACTCTCCTTCATTCATTCATTTATTCATTCTTCACTGTCCTGGAGAGATATCATTCTGTTCACAGCCGTGAGGTAAATAATAATATTTTAAGTTAATCTCTTGGGTTTACGGTATAATTTCCGCACAATGAAGCTTTACATCGTCATTATTTGACTAAATTTCGTCTATCCTCGAGATGTGGCACTTAATGATTGTAATATGTCCGTAATTGGTGTGTCTTTGCCGGAACAATGATGCTGACAATTTACTGATGATGAAATTTCAGACAAGCCATGTTGAAATACTTTCATTCCTGTTTGACGGTTTTACGATCTAGTGTTCTTGAGTCAAAGCCACTCAAAGAATTATTCACATTAGGCTGTGCCAAAGAAAGCACGAAAATACACAAAATCAAGTACAAAGAAGAAATGAAGCTTTTGGCCGTCGACAGTTGCACTTATCAGCACAGGTGAAGTGGAGCGAAGAAGTTGTCAAAGTCAAGCTAAGAGGATATGTGTTTAGAAGCATTAAGATGAAATGGCTTGATACAACCAAATCCCTTTATTACTTTCATGAGAGTGGGAAAAGCATCATGATCATAGGATGTATTGAATTGAATTGAATTCAAATATTTTGTGGTATTCTCATCAGTTGTATGCATGCATTCAGATCATGTTTAGTTCAAAGAGTGATCTGTTTGGTGGCAAGCAAACATACAAAACTAAGAGAGAGAAACCAGTCAATCAATACGGAGGGCAAGAGTCAGAAAAACCCTAACCGGATTGGACACCGGGGGCAGAGAGCGTAATCACTGTAGAGGTTAAGTAACTTCGGTAACTAGAGGCTGGTGATGAAATCGATCTATTTACACAAGTTGGGTTTGTAGTGTACAATGGCAACTGCCTCGGGGAACCCTAGCAAATAACTACTGGTTCGGAAAATTGGGACAAGAAAGTTTGTCACATTCATTTTAATCTAATAGGTCAGTAGCGATTGAATTGGGCGGATGCTTGAACCAACTGGAGTCCTCAGTTCCTCAGTACATCATCTCAGATCATGTTAGACAATCGTTTATCAGTTATTCCGATGTACTTATTGTCACAAGCACGTTGAAAAGCAGAAATCCACTTGAAAGGTGACAGAACAGTCTGGTTTTTCCAGATTGCATTCAATGAGAATTCGTTTCGCGTAATAGCATTTGTGAGACAGCATAAGAGGTTCCGGTAATTCTATGCTTGGACTCGCACTGTATTAGGCTATCCATTTGGGTACTTTCAAATACCATGACGACAAAAAGTGATTACTTTGAGACGGTGTCATTCTGTTCTAGTCTATCTTTTTGGCTAATCATATCTCACTATAAACTCGATAGTGCTTCCTCCTCCAGGCCGCGCTGTGCATATCTAGTTCCAGTGTTTCACTGGAGCTGATCATCCAATCTCTAGATAATAAACCACGGACCAGAGGAAGTTTGCATTGTATTGTAGAGAGACTTGTAAAATTGGGTTATAGTTTCGTCTAAGTCAACTTGTGACACGCGGATCTTAGAAAAGTTATACCTTTCTCATTATTCCGACATCTAGAACGTGTAAAGACGCTTCAGATTGATGCTCGATCATATATTTAATGTTACTCTGTGGCCGATTGAGTTTTCAAGCATTAATTTTGCGGGTGTACTGTCATTCAATGTAAAAATTGCGTCATCATCAGCATAGCAGTCGTGGAGGTGTGCATTACATATGCCTGATCGTATTTTTGTATTCTCTACGAAGGTAGCCTCCATAACTGGCCCCAGTGGACCCCCAAACCAACAATCCGCACAATCCGAACAAAACTGTAACTCTTCAGCACGTGGATTCGTCTATTTTGAGAGATGAGATGTTGAACTCATCGGCGTATGAAGAGTCAGTATGAAACATTTCACAAAGAATACTGGCGAACAATAAACAAACCTCATATGATACGATGTTTTTATGGGAAGCATCAATATGACACTTTTTACCCGAAGACGTCCAACAATTCCTCTAGGATGTAGTTAGAAACCCGGTGGCTGATCTGCTTATGCCAAACCGATATGTTAGAGAATCATTAGAAGAACCTGAAAGCAAAGTGAAGGTGTTACTTAAGGACTCGACATAGGATCTAGTGCTGATATATGGAATAAACAGCGCGTACATATCCGAAAATTACAATTACAAGTTATTTCGGACAGAAGTAGATGTGTTCCCAACGGAACAACTGATGAGATTACAACAAACTAGGGGAATTCTACACATCCTGTGATCTCTGACACTTCTGTTTGCTTTCAGAAAGCGGTATAAGTACAGACCGGTGTTGCGTACGTAGGAATTGCTTCACGGCATTCCGATGTCAAATATCACTCGAAATGTGAACAAAATGTTTTACTATGATTTTTAGTGTGAACAATCGTCCCCTAACACTGCGATTGCGATGAGTTGCATGCGTATACCACATGTTTACGGTGCAGGCGATTCAAGGAAATTTCCGCAGCTTAGAGGCATAAAAATATTGAAAATAGCATTAGTATTAATTGCTGTGGCCCAAAGGGTTTCACATATAGAATAATCCAATGTTATTTCAATTCACGTCGGTTTATGCACGTCTTCACTTGTTCACTGCACTATTTTATCAGCATTGGAACCCATAAAAGACTCCATTCGTACGTAGCACACAGCTTGTGCACTTTTGGGGTGAGATGGTTCCTTTTGGGGGCTTGATTACAACACACTGAATGATCGAGCTCGACGTGCGCCATTTAGCGCGAAATCGGTGGTGGTTATGTCCAATTCTGAAATCGCTGCACATACCCCTGAACACCTAGATTGTAATTGCATTTGAGTCATCATCAATGCTCTGAAAAGGGCTATTGCTTCAAAACGCACTCACTCATTCTAATAAAACGGTTCAAAGCTCTGCTGCAGACTTATTTGAGGAGGTGTTTTTTTTCTCTACACTACAAACACAAGACGAATTCAATCATTAACACATCGGGCTATTCGGGTAGAGCCGGCTGAAGGAAGCAATTCTGTGTCCGTCATAGAGCAAATTTCTAATCAGTTCCTGTGATCTTTTGACAATAAACAAAAATGTACAAAAATAGCGGATCAGAAGAGGTTATACGCGGTCACGGAACTGAAAAACAAACGTATATTCTTCGTTAGAAAAATCCCCGTTTTTATCCCTCCGCTGTTTGTTCATCCCCATTGTGACACGTAGAAAAATATCACCTTGTTCTTATTCTTTTTCTAACCAACTGCAAACTGCTCCGCAACTCCGTGTGGTTTTCATCGGGCAAGACTCTTGGGAATCAGTTAAAAACTTTTCTTACTGAGTCTTTGTTCATTCAATTGGATGAGAGAGAGAGGGAGGTGATGTTGACTTCTCCACAGATGACACTTATCATCGTTAATGTGTGTGCGCGCATGCGGGCGCCTACTCGGTGGCAATGAATCCGTTATGGTGGGTCAGTTTCAAAGTGTTGATCATCCCACTTGACTCAGAATCCTAAAATTATAATTTAATGAAGTTGCTTTTTTTCTTTAAATGAAAGCAGTGTACTTCGCTTACCACCACCTCTGTCCAGGGTTGGGATATTGATGAAAACTGGCTGCATTGCATCGATATTTTGCCCAGTGAGGAGAAACCGTACGATGTAAACCACAAGTACCGGGTAAGATGGAGCGTGCCGACTCGAAGAACACCGATTCCAAGAGCGACCGCTTCCATCTATTTCACTATTCAAGTGTCAAAAATTAAGCCAAAGGTAAGCCGTGTATCAGTATGCTATTATGTCTCCTTGAAACAGTGCGATTTGATACCCTCAGATATCAGGGAATTCTACTGACAATGAATTGAAAAGATATTTCAGTGATCGTTATTTTTTTAAACTCCAGAAAAAACTAATTGTAACATTAGAACACAAGTCCGAAAGCGAACAAGTATTTTCGAATGACTTATAATTGTGTCTGTGAAGATCATTCAATGGTTTTAGAGTAGTAAGCTTGGATTAGCCCATGCGATTGTCAAGAGGCACCAGGCACTTGATGGTCTTGGGTAGGGGTTTCACTCCTTGGGAGATCGTTAATTCCTCACAATTTTATGCACTTACATGTGATGGAAATGTTTGCAATAACCGACCGCGTAGCTCAGGGGTAAGGGTTTGAAGTCCCAACCCGAATGTTTGCGGTTCAGGCCCTGACAAGGACACAAAATGTAGGCACTGTTGACGAGTCCCAAATCGGACGAAGCAGCTGCCCAGTGCTCTTTGTCGTTTATCACAAGCATTTCCATGTTTGTTGTTAGTGGGGACACATTTTCAATCTGGGTTCAAAGGTCATTCGGGATAAGGAGAAAGGGGGGTGAGGTTTGTTTGGGTAAGATCGATTATAAACGGAGNAGTGTTGGTGGTATTAGTGATGCTGGTGATCAGTTTGAGGTCAGGGTTAGTGGAGAGTTTGAACCAGTCACTTTTATGCACATAGTTCTGTTGCGAAAAGGTGAATGCTTACCGCATCAGAGATGCTGGTGCGTGTAAGCGCATTGCCTAAGAGGACGCGGATTCTGGTTTAATTTGATGACCTGTATCCACTAGACGACCGAAAATGACGCTTCCTATACTCTCGCCCAAACACGGCCACACGGGACTCACCCCACTCCTTCCCTCTCCCCCATCCTGAAAATTGCACTGTGGGCAGTGCTATTTTTGTCTACTCCCATCAAATTGGGTCCTCCATATAGATCTGAGTACGCGTGCACGATTGCACGAGATAAATGCAAAACAATAATTACTCGTCAACAACAGAAGACATATGTGGGCAGAATTGATGCTGGCCATCAATTTCGCGTGCTCTCATTCAGCTGTAAACGCACATTTATATGATCATGTGAAACGAAGAAGGATAAGAGTTGAAATGAGTCATTTGAACAAAGCGTTGACTAGAAAAAATAATCACAACGCAGAAGTGTATATGTTTGCGACTGCCAGAGAATAGATGAAATGTGTGGTAGTGGGAAGCACTGAACTGATTACCCACATGTAACTGAAACCACAAAGTCCCATCTATCGATCCACGGAAATAATCCCACGCTTACCATGTTGTTTTTGTTCATTCAAAACCCCACATTTGTGCCCTCAAAGTTTATTGCATAATATGCTTTGTTTAGTACGAAATTTGGACCCTGGTCAGCATAAAACATCAAACAACACGATGTACTGGACGCTGAACCGCGGTAGACATCTCGTCTTTGTGATAAAAACAATCTGCAGCCTGGATCGGTGGAGGAACAGTGGGAAACTTGATACTCGAAAGTGGGAAGCTCTGCGATACGTGTGCAGTGCCGATGGGTAGATGCCCGTCAGGCTAATTTTCAGGAACCAAGTTAAATGAATTGAGTTCTTTTAGAAAGTAATTTTTTCACAAACTGAATCACGTGATATATGGTGAATGGAACGTTGAATGACAGATAACCGGTTGGAACGTTTTAACACAGCACATCACCAAAATTGCGGATAGCATTGTATCGTCCTACGTCCTACGACTGAATTCCTCCTTCGAGCTCATTAGATTGGGGGAAAATGAGAAACACAAAACCACTGAGATAAATGACATTGGGAGGGTGAAATAACTCAGTCCGAGTCCGAGGCGTATCCGATATGGGGTTAGCAACCCGGAGTAGAATGTCTATATGGGGTTTTTTGTAAGTTCGCAAGTTTTTGCTAATCTATACGGCTCACGTATTAGCGCACAGGAATTGTGCTGCTCGTTTTCAACATTAATAAAATCTGTATTCCAGTTGGTCACATTCACTGGGTTTCTGAAGTAAAGATGGAAACTGAACTGAAGCGAAACTAAAATTAGTCATCACGTGGGTCGGTAAAAACGGTTTTTGTAGCACAAAAATAACTGATCTAAAAAATTCATGAATGTTTCTTGTT